TTTACATTGAAAAGCAACATTTTGAAAACCAAGATTAAGAATAGACATTATTCGCTCAGCAGGATTTGCCCAACTATAAAAATGGATCTCACCATAAAACTATACTAAAGCATAAAGATTTAGAATTTTATGCTGATAAATTAGAGTAGTGTATTCTAGAACCATAGGCAAGTAAATTATGTTGGAATCAGGTTGTAACTGCTAGTTTAGAACTGTGTTCTGTTGCTCATACATATGCCAACTATTTAGAGACAGTTAACCAGCATATGCAAAGAATTCAACTTGCATCTGCTCCAGCACAAAGTTCTGAAAATAATAGTAATTTAGAAATACGAACTCTATGTGCAAAAAATACTATTAAAGAAATATATTTACCAATTGCTGAACATATTAAAGATACAAAAAATATGAAATTATATCACTTGAAGAATTTTTACCTGAAAATAAAGAAAAACGATTCTTTTATCTATCAAATCTTACTATCGATTCTACAATTAAGTTATATCGATATCATCATAGAAATTATTTAAAAACTTTAAATTTTATTTGGAAAATTCCTGAAGATTTTGAATTACGTGATGATACAAAAAATGTTCAAGCAATAATTCGAATACAATCATTATTACCTCAATTTTTTACCCGATATATGAGAAGGCATATGTTTGCAAAAGTAAATTTTTTATATATTAATGTGTATTATATTAAAGTATTTAATATTAATAAGTTTTATTTATTAAATAGTATTCTCTAATTACAAAAATTACTCCTAGTGTATTATATTATTTATATCATAACTTAGTTGCTAACTCTAGTGCTATAGACAATTCATACTCTGCTGAAGTAGACCAAAGATTAAGAACAATGCTTAAACTTGGTGATCCTAAAATTCGTATTGATATGTGCAAAAATAATGGATTTAAAGGCACTAAATTTGATGAATTTTAGAATGAAATGGAATCTTATTTTAGTAAAAATCTTTTATCAGTACATGAAAGACGTCATAGCAATATACTTTATTTGCCAAGTTTTATTTCAGTTAGAGATTTAAGAGAATCTATTGTAGAACGATTAGAAAATAAGCGTAATGAATATCCACTTTCTAATAATTGTTTAGTACCATCTGATCGCTAGATTTCTTATCAGTTCTGTTCAAAAAATAATTGGTATAAAGCTAGTACACAGTATACAGGATGATTTCAAATTAAATATATGGTACAAACTCGACAATTAAGAAAATCTCATATTGATGTTCACTATTGTCAAGCAATTTTTAAATATATTTGACAATTTGCATCAAAGTACAGACAATATACATGTCTTATTTTTGCTGATGATAAACACAAAGTACCAATTGGAGAAGAAGTACCAACAAGTACTGGAGTTCGAAATAAAAAATCTGCTACATTAAAACAAACTGAGCTTTCAGCATCTGATCATGATTTTACAAAACTTTCAATAACTCCTTCAGTTTCATTATTTACTAAAATTCCTGAAGATCCAACTCAATCATTTTATGTTGGACAAGTATATATTGCATTAAAAGATACTACTTTTCAAGCTAGTTCAGCTCTTAGACATGCTACAGAATTTTACGATTCAATAGAACAACACTATTATAATGCTGATTCACTACCAGAAATTATTATATTATATACAGATGGAGGGCCTGATTATCGGTGCAATTTTAGATCTGTTCAAGTTTCACTTATTTTACTTTTTTTAAATAGGGATTTTGATTTAGTAATTGCTGCACATACAGCACCTTTTCATAGTTGGGCAAATCCTGCTGAGCGAATAATGTCTATTCTTAATCTTGGTTTTCAAAATGTTGCTTTTCAATGTAAACAAATGTCTGAAGAGTCAGAATTTATTTTTCAAAAATTACAAACACTAGATGCAATTCATAAAGGAGCAGAAAATAATTCTACTTTAAAATCTGAATTAAAATTATCAATTGATAAAATACAAAATATACTTTTTGATCATA